GGCCTCCAGATGTTCTTGGACTTCAACTCCCAGAAATCCTGGCCAGCAGAGGTGGTGGTGAAGGCTTCTGGGAGTTGTAGTCCAAGAACATCTGGAGGCTCAAGGTTGGGGACAACTGTTCTATGGAACAATAGTGCCCAGGTTGGCTTCCCGTACAGTTCTAGAACCAGAGTTGTTTCCACATTTGAGACCTACGATCACATTGTCTATAAATTACTGCTTTCCAAAAGATCCTGCCATTAATAGAACAGCTCAGGTCTCGCAAAGTCGAGTTAACTCAGTTTACTGAGTTAATCCATCTCATGTTTGTCTTCTTCTCTTCCTACTGCCTTCAACTTTCCAGAGCGTAATGAGTCTTCTCCAATGAATCTTCTCATGATGTGCCCAAAATACGATACTCTCAATTTAGTTTTTTTTTTGCCGCTAATTTTCTAGCTAGCAAGCAAGCAAAATAAGTTTATTCCGTGCCACACAGGCCATTGCAACATACATTGGATAAAACAATACAAAACAGTATAAACAATATTTTATTCATTTATTTATTTAATTTATTTAACTTATGTGGCACACAGGCCATTGCAACATACGTTGGACAAAACAATATAAAACAGTATAAACAAGATTTATTTTATTTATTTATTTAATTTATGTAATATAATATACTCCATTAAAATATGACATGACGTCCATCACACTTTTTATCCAGCTGAATAACATTTTAACTCTGTCTCGAGTCAAGATTTATTGGCAATTAATTTTGACTTGGAAAGTCTAGGCGGGGCTAGCCCGGACTCAACACTTTATTTAACAAATTCAACTTTACTGGTGTTAGGTAGCACCTCCATATACTACTTTACAGCAATTATCTTTAGCTCTCACAGACATATTTTTCATTATTCTTTTTTTCCAGATGTTTTGAATGTCGGCTCCCATCAGTCACACTTAACTTGGCCAATACTCAGGGGGGTATAATGCACTAATCTGAGAAGCCAGATCTTCACAAGTGCAGATTTTTTTAAATATTTGTAACAGAAATCAAATTAAGCATGGAGGGGGTGGGCAGTGATGAGGAGAGGCTTACAACAACCCTGCAGTGTCGTCCAGTGTTACTATTTCACGCTGCCTCCATCGCCCACCGTTCCCACGATCAAGCGCTCCACGTGTATGCTGACATTCTTACCCCTCGCCCAAGAATGGTCCCCCATATACACCCGGAAGGCCTTACGCGTGGGTGACTCTATCATTTGATCTATCTCTAGGGCGCGGCTTGTGTGTCGTCATTCCCGACGCCAGGAGGAGAACGGGGCTTGTTTCCTACCTGGAGACTACAAATCCCAAGAAGCTTTGCGCGACCTTGCCTTCTTGGCGAAGGGAGCTGATGACGCACTTCCCCTCGTCGCCCAGCTTGTTGTTCCAGGAAGTGGGGGAACTTCGTCGCTGAGGCCTTGGCGTCGCACGAGAGACGTTCGGTCTCCGTTGCTAAGGGCGACGTGTCGGGAGGGGGCCCCCGAATTTCTAGGCCTGAGGCGAGATGGAGCTGCCGGGGCCCGGGGTGGACTCCGCGGCCTCGGCCCGGGCGTTAGTCCCCGTCCAGGCCGAGGCCCGCGCCGTGGCGACGGTGAAGGAGGCCGCTCAGGAGGCCCCCAAGAGCCGCAAGAGGGTCCTCGACGAGGACGCCTACATCCAGGCAAGTGGGCCGAGGAGGAGGAGGAGGAGGGCCGATCGGGCCCGGGCTGGGGGGCCACCGTGTGGGGCTGGAGAGAGCCGGGGCGGGGGGGGAGAGGACTTATAGTTGATAAATAAACACTTCTATTTGTTTATTATTTATTTAATTAATTTATTTATTAACCAAATAAATTAATAAATAGAGAACAATAGGAGGTGGAGACGGGCTGCCTCTGCACACTAAGGCCAGTATGGCCTGAGGAAGGTCAACAGTCTCCCTCATGACATTGGCTCTTAATATTAAAAAATAATAATTAATCAAACTTGCCTAATCTAATTCCTCTTTTGTTTATACACACGCACACGCACACGTGATTTCTCCTCCCCTCCCTCCACATTGTGCATACTATGCTTGGCGCCCTCCGTGTGTTTTGGGAGCGCCCCCCCATCAGCTTTAGTTGTGAATGGGGGGAGGGATGCCCGACGCCTGGGGGGGGGCAGTAACAGGCTCCCCATCATTATTGGAGACCCTGCAGTTTGGAGCCCCCTTTTGCGAAACAGACCCTGCAGGGACGCTTGCCAAGACTTTTTTGGGGGGGGGGATTTTCACGCAATTTCTCCTCCCCTCCCTCCACATTGGTGCGCAGCGTGATGGAGATGATATGTCACAAGCTATCATTTTAAAAAAGAAAAAGAATGCTGTCATAAAAATATCACCTGCCCCTTGCTTTTGTATTATTGGAGAGGTTAAAGTAGTTTCAGCCAGGCTGCGCTGCAGGATTGTCAAGGACTCTGCTTTCAGTTGTAAGACTAAGATCCTTCCCCCCGTCCCGCATATGCTATCGAAATATAATAATAATATTAATAGTCATGCCCAGTAAACAGACTCCAGAAGCTAGCAGGCTGGAATCTGGCAGGCTTACTCCCCATTTTACAGTCCAAATTTCACTTTATAATAATTGTGTGTTTTCAACTCACTTTCTGATTTATGGTAATCTGAGACATTTAAATATTTTGTAACTATCCCTGAGGTGCTATAGTGTTAGACTACTCAGGATGGAATTGTGACAGGCCTTGTTAATTACAGAATGTGGGAGAAGTAGCACACTTTCTTTGTGTTTTTGTAATTCACAAGAATGTTATTGTGCTTAAAAAAAAGATTACCCATAATGTATGAGAAACAATGATTGCAGAGCCTGGAGAAAATCATTCAGAGGGATTTTTTCCCTGATGTTGAGAAGCTACGTGCCCAGAAGGACTATCTGGAGGCTGAAGAGAGTGGTGACTTGGAGAAGATGAGGCAGATAGCTATTAAATTTGGCTCTTCGCTGGGGAGATTTTCCAAAGATACCCCAGCACCATGTAAGAATTTTTTATTTTCTATATATTGATGTTTTCTGCAGAGATCTAAATATAGTCTCACATTGTTTCTTTGTGATGTTATGATTTCAAGCTACTGATAGACATTTTTTTTTAAATTGTGAGGCGCCAACCTGGCTTTAAAATCCTGTTCCTGCTGCATGATCTTTTGTGGCATGAGCAATTAGCATGACTCCCCCTCTGACTGATTTTGCAGTCTGTTTAATTTTTGTTATGGTAGCAAGTTTAGTATTTCCTGTATCTAATTTTTTTTAGTGGTGCCTACATACTAGTTTTCTGACCCATTTTCTGCTTACACAGTTTGGCCATGAGCTGTCAAACATTTTGACTTGCATAAAGTGACTTTAAATAGAGACTTCCAGTTGCGTTTTGATGGCAAATTTCTCTGAGAAAGATGATAGGATCTTGCTTTTATGCTGAGGTCAGTAAGCGTTTCTTTAGGTCTCAATTAGTGGTGGTTAGGGATTGGCACAAACCACAAAAATTGAGTGGCAGGCACATGCGCAGAGGTAGCCAGGCCTGGGGAACCAGCTGGGCTGCCCCTTAAAAAAAAAGGGTGGGCGCATGCGCAGAGGCAGCCTGGACTGCAAAGCTGGCTGGGCTGTCTATAGAGATGGCAGCGGTAGAAACAGCAAAAACTAGGGAGGCGAAGGGGGCAGGGGCAGGTGGAATGAACCCAGTCCTACCTTAAGGAGCAGGATTCCCAAGACCCATTCCAGGCTGGATTCAGGCTACGACGGGGTACTGAGACGACACTGGTCGTGTTGCAGGATGACCTTTTAAGGGAGGCTGACGGGGCAGAGGCACCCTGTTGGTACTCCTAGATCTCTCAGCGGGTTTTGATACCGTCAATCATGGTATTCTCCTGGATGTACTCTCCGAGTTTGGGATTGGGAGCTTAACATTGAGCTGGCTCCAATCCGTCCTTGAGAACCGTGTCCAGGGAGTTCAGCTGCAGGAGGAGGTGTCAGCACCTTGAACCAGATTGCAGCCATGTTCAGATCAGCCTTTAACCAGTTTAGGCTAATTGCCCAACTTTGCCTAGACGAGGGCTCCCTCAGGACTTTGGTGCAGGCTCTGGTCATCTCCTAGATCAACTACTGCAATGCTCTTTACATCAGGCTCCCCTTGAACCTGATCCGGAGACTTCAGCGGGTCCAGAATGCGGTAGCCAGATTTGACCACATCATTCCAGTTCTGGCCCACCTGCACTGGTTAGATTGGTGGTTGGCGCTGGCAAATTTGACCACGTCATTCCAGTTCTGGCCCACCTGCACTGGTTGCCTGTGGTGTTCTAGATCAGGTTCAAGGTTTTGGCACTCTCATACAAAGCCCTCCTGGCAGAGAAGCAGCAGCTCCCAGTGGGCGGGGTGACCTCTCATTTTGCCTTTTCCCTTAGAGTTAGATCAGATGCTTTTGAACTGCAACTCCCAGAAACCCCAGTCAGCACAGCTGGTGGTGAAGGCTTCTGGGAGTTGCAGTCCAAAACTCCTGAGTAACCCAAGGTTAAGAACCAGTAAGTTAGATCATAAGATCAAACGGTTTCTCCGGCCAGTCCTTGCGGTGATTAGGTAACTAGTATCCTATCTGAATTCTCACAACATTCTGTGTAATCCTGCTAAGTTAATAAAAAGAGTTCTCAAGGCCATCTGTGGTCGACTTCTTTGTACTTTCTCTAAGGCTAATTGCCTTCCTGTTCTTCTGTGATCACCCACATCATTAGCCTTCCTTTGTTCCGTGATCACCTACATCTTTCCAAGGAGCATCTTCTGTGGTTCTGTCCCACAGCAGCCCCATGTGGTGCCACATATGACTTGTTGTCCCCCCCCCCTTTCAATGCCTTGTTGAGGCAGATTATGCTGAGGGAGATTGATAGTTGTCAGGGTTGCTCAGTGGGGATTTAAACTTGTTCTTTACATCCAGCCATGGGTCTTAGAACAGTGATTTCCTGAGTTTCATAAATCTGGCTTTTTAACCCCTTTGTACAGATGTTACACCAGCAACCTTTGAAACGCCAGAGGTTCATCCCGGTGACCCTTCCACGTTGAATAAGCCTAAGCTCCCAGTGAAAAATCGAGAAGAAGGTAAACAATTTAAATAAATACAGTTTTTCTTTTGCGTGTTTGGATTGTTGCCATTGCCTTTATTGTTTGGAAGAATAGTTAAGCAGTGGTTCCTTCCAGTAAATCTGAGGGTTGAAGCATGAAAGGACTGCAGCTCATGATGCTAAGGGGTCTCTCGTATACGGGTGGCCTGCTTGTGAAGATGTTGTTGGACCCCTTGTGTCGCCCATTAGCAGAGCTGGCTAAAGCTGGTGGGAGCTGCATTCCAATAACATTTAAAGGCCCTGAGGTTGATTATAGTTAACAGGATCATGGGAGGTAAGATAGGAGAAGGCTTATACTCAAGCACCTTCCAGAAGGAATGGGGTGATATTTGCTGTGGGATCTTCTCTTCACCATCTATCACAGAGCCACCCACAACGTATGTAACAGCAACAAAAAGCAGAGGCTTGTGTCACCTTAGTTCACAGATTCAATCCATTTCTTCAAGTTCAAATGCATGTAGTATAATATGCAGGTTTTTATTCACTGTGTATGCAATGTTGTGGGAATTGGGGCTGACCGAAATAGGAGACAGAAAATGAGAATAGCGTTAGTAATAGTATATCAGTGAACTTTCTTGGTAGCCATATCAATACCAACAGTACTAACAAATTTTGAAACATTCTTGAGTCTTTCCAGTCTTTGAAAGTTGCAATAGTCGTGTTAGCATAGGTAGTGAAATTTAAAATATTGTTTCTATCGTGTCTGCTTAGGAAGAGCAGTTAGCTAATGCAAAGCATTTAGTGACTGATGCAAAAGGATTAAACTTTTTTCTTTGAAATGTTAAATGAAACAGAATAACTGTTCAGGTTTTGCATTTCATTGTCTGTCGCATCCCATGAGGAATGCAACAGTGTGTGTGCAGGTGGGTGCACACATACACAAATATATATATGCATTCTGGCACAACATTGTAAACCAACCAGCAGACCTTGGCAAAACTGTGATCCAAAGCAGTCAATTAATGCTCCTGTTTCATAGACAGGGAACACTGAGGTTGGGTGAGAAGCTTATCACGGGCAAGATCTTTTCCCTTGCAGTTGTGAAATGAAACCTATGGGGAGTCAAATGCCTTGAAGAGATATTCAGAACCCCACCAGATAGTATAACTGTACATTACTTTTGCTTTAGAGAGATGCCGAATGGGGATTGTGAGACCACTGGCCTGATCTGCTGTAAGGCAGCTTTGTTTGTCTATAAAAGCTATCATCGCTTGACTTGTCTTATATAGCTTGAGAAGTTGAACTAGCATTCGTTCTGAAGTTCTGTGGTGCAGCTTTGGATGACTCATCAGATCCGTAGCCACCCATGTTTCTTTGGCACAACTTCAGAGCATCGCCGTAGCTGCTGCATATTTAATCCAAAGGAATGAATCATAATGTGTGTGTGTTTGAGAGAGAAAGAGAGAGAGAATTTATAGACCATAAAGGAAAAAGTCAGAAATACCTTAAGCCTTTACTAAGATTCCCACTATGGATGAGCGTGGCTAATTTAATTTTGTGTATTTTTCTTGTGAGCTTGGCTCGTCTCCCACTACATGTGGATATGTTTGCAATATTCCTAACCCGAAATTGCATCACTCCCTAAAGCTCCCCCCCACCCTGGCTCCCATTTGTAATGAGGAGTCCGACGGATCAGGAACAGTGTGGGAATAAACTCCATGCAATTCAGCCCTTGAAAAGTCTTGTTACTTTAGACTTAGTGAGTAGGATAGTCAAGCTGTGCGGGTGGGTGGTTGTAATTCCAATTATTGCATGTGTTTTTACTGGCAGGATTCCAGGTGTTGAGTCTGAGCATGTTTTGAAAACCAGCCTGATTTTATGTTTAATCTGTGTAAGGTTTTCTCCCATGTGAAAATATTTTGTAGGTGAAGGTTGTGACTAATTCAGATGGGAAACAACAACAAAAAGCTAACTTTGGCACTATGATCAGAGGATCCACAGCCATGAATGTCTCTCCCCCTTTTGCCTCCCCCCCCCACATGAACCATTTTCTTTCTTTTTCCCCTCATCTGAAACATTTTTTAAAAAAAGTGTCCCTCTAATTGTGTATAGAATCCCCACCAATGTCCCCTCTAATTTTTGGCCCTGCTGGGCAATGGCCTGCCTCTCTCTCGCGTGGCTCTGCCCCTTTGTGTGCACAGGACTCAGCCCCCACATGCTGGATTCCTTTGTGACCGGAATCTCACGCAATCCCTGCGCGGAGGAGGGAAAAAGCTGCACGGAGGAAAGCGGAGTTGTGCACACATGTGTCCAGCTTAACAGGAACCTTGGTCCGCAGCCATGTCAAACTGGCATGGGCTCAGTGTGGACCTGATCCTGTAGAAGTTTTGAGGCCTAATATGTATTCTCTTTGCATGTCATTGCTTCTGATGCCACTGTCTCTGCCTTGTTCAGAGGCATCCTCTATAGATCTGAGACTACATGGAGGAAAGTACATTTTCTAAAATACATATATTTATAGAGTTGCATCCCTCTTTCCTTCAGGTGAAACAGAGGAAGAAGAGAACAGAGATGCTCTTCCCAGCCTGGACACCTTCTTGGCAAAACACACCAGCGAGGATAATGCGTCGTTCGAACAGATCATGGATGTGGCCGAAGAGAAGGAGAAAGCAAGGCATTCGTGGTTGTATGAAGCTGAAGAGGAATTTGCCGAGGTAGGAGGAAGAACTGGACGTTTCTAGCCTTGTCAAAGGGCGCAAGGCGGAAGACTTAGCATCAGTTGATCAAGTAGGGGAAGAACACTTTTGTTGCTCAACTATCACTAAGGAAGAAGGTTTTTAGACCGCATTTTGTTCTGAAATGCTGATTTGCAAGATGTGGCTTGAAGTATATCAATAAGTAAACGGAACTGGTTCATATACCAAAGCTGTTGGGCCAGAAGAGACTGTAGTCCCTGGATGTTAAAATTATAGTATGCACTTTATTCCAAATTAAGAGTTTCACATCACATTTTTCATTTGGAAAAAAGGGCAGACTATAATTTTTACATCCTGGGACTACAATCTCTTCTTTCGGTTGAAATACCCTATATAAGGCAATCTGATGCTAACAGGATTTGGGGGTTGCCAGGATAGTGCTGCAGCCTCTGTGTGGGCCTCGTTTCCTGCTCTATGTAAGATTTCTGTAGAAGACAGAGGGGATGGAAATTCAATTGCAAGAAATTTAATTGCGAAACCAGGTAAAATATTAATGTTGTGCTCCCTACTGAATCATATGCTTTGTCAATTTCCATCTTCATTTTCTCCGCTTCGGTCCAAAACTGAAATATGTTATAAAATCCCTTTCAGCGGCATCAGAAGCAGCTGGCACTTCCATCGGCCGAAGAGCAGCAGGCCCTGACTGGTGGGAAAGCGGGAGTGGAGACGTGGGAATACAAGGCTAAGAATTCCCTGATGTATTACCCACCAGGTGAGGCATTGCAAGAATTTTCATTTAAATGGAGACACTTAGATGGACTGATGCTTGGAAGACCACACACACACACACACACGTACACACCAAGCAGCCACTGCCCTACATGGATTCATCTTATACATGGGTGGGCAACCTCAGAAGGTCCTGGGTGAGCCCATATTTGTCCCTAGACCTTGAAGAGCTACTTCCATGATGCTCACTTGCCCACATTTTTTCTTATGAAAACAGGGAGTTGTGAAAAAGTCCCTTGTACTCAACAAATTCATATTTTAAATTGTGGAAGATGTGAGTGCAGCCCTCAAAGCACTTTGCTGAAATCTGGTTTGGTGTAGTTGTGGAGCCTGCCTCTTTTAACAAACATGGCTTGTTAGCCGGGCACAAATCTATGAGTTGTAACTGCCTTAGCCATTCTGGCTTGTTTGGAATGTGGCTTGTTGTATGATGTCCATAGCTTGCAAATACGAAACTACAGTGGTGCCTCAAAAGATGAATGCCTCGCGGGACGAAAAACCTCTAAGACGAATGGTTTTTGCGATTGCTGTGGTGAAAGATGAATGCCTCGCAGGATGAAAAACCTGTAAGACGAATGGTTTTTGTGATTGCTGTGGTGCCTCGTAAGACAGCTTCTTCTATGGCCGTGCTTCGCAATATGATTTTTCCCTCCAAGACTGATGCCTCGCAAGATGAAAATAATTTATTCATTCCTATGCGAAATCGCTTATCACAAGATGAAAACTTCGCAAGACAGCGCTACTCGCGGAACTAATTACTTTCGTCTTGTGAGACACCACTGTAGCTTCTCTAGTTTGGTTCCTCAACAGCTCATTTTGAAACAGTAGCTGATGAAGGAGATTGGAAGGGCAGAGGAACTGTGGTTTCTTTAGTTAGCCACCATGCAGTTTGTAGTTTAAACACCAGACTACCTTTCTGTGATGTTCAGATGTGCCTACGCTTGAAAATCCCAAGAAACCTGTCTCCTTCATCAATGATGGCAAGTCATCTCCCTGATACTAACATTTCACCTTTGCCAGGTGTTCCTGATGAGGAGGATATGTTCAAAAAACCTCGAGAAGTGGTCCACAGAAACACTCGTTTCCTGAAGGATCCATTCAGCCAAGCTGTGAGCAAATCCCAGCTCCAGCAGGCGGCGGCGCTCAATGCTCAGGTGCGGAGAGTACAGAACATTGTGGTTGTGTATGTCCACTCTCATATTAAAATTAAAATATATCATTATTTGTTTTATTTAATTCATTTCTATCCCGCCTTTGTTCTAGTGTGCGCAAGGTCTTCTCTCCACGTTATCAGCATAAAATCTTTGGGATAGATTAGGCTGAGAGGCTGTGATTCCCCTAGACCAGTGGTTCCTAACGTTGGGTCTCCAGATAGACTAAAACTCCCAGAAGCCTTTGCCACTAACTGTCCTGGCCAGGATTTCTGGGAGTTGTAGTCAAAGGACATCTGGGCATCTAAGGTTGGGAACCACTGCTCTAAATTAACAAATAGAGGTAAACAAAAGCATATGTAAAATAGAGTATGAAGGAAGAATGTTTGCTTAATGTATTCTCGAAGGCTTTCATGGCAGGGATCCGATGGTTGCAGGTTTTTCGGGCTCTTTGGCCGTGTTCTGAAGGTTTTTCTTCCTAATGTTTCGCCCCTCTCTGTGGCTGGCATCTTCAGAGGACAGAACTCTGTCTGTCTTCTGGTGTAGTGTGTGGGATAGTTAAGTATTTATCACTGTGGGATCAGCTTTTTGTCCTTTTCAGGAGATTGCGTTATTATGGTGATGAGGGTGTTTTTTGTTATGGGTGTATTGTTGTGATAAGTGGGGGGGGGGGGAGGATATGTCACTGTGATTGATGGGTGTCATTAGTCTTTTGTGTGCAGTAATCACCAGTCCTTGTGGCTGGGTAGTTTGTTGACCTTTTGCAGGCTGTATTTTTCTGTTTACATTTTTACTCTATTTGTTTGTTTGCATTTTTACTCTGGCCAGCTACTCTGGGTGGCTAACAAGGAGAAGAAAGTCATAAGCCATAATTGGGTTTACATTTTTACTATATTTGTTTGTTTACATTTTTACTCTGCCCAGCTACTCTGGGTGGCTCACAAGGAGAAGAAAGTCATAAGCCATAATAGCAAGGAAGATATGAACAACAAGAGAAAAAAAAGATTCCAAAACATAACCAAAGGAACCATGTAGAGTGCAAAAGTTAATGGCATGCAGACGATCAAGAGGGATACAGAAGATTACTTACTTAGACACAAACTATAGAAAGGCTTAGGACAGTGGTCAGGGAACAGGGGTAAATTACCCCAAATGGGGTAAAAATGAAAATCCTGGGGGTAATGAGAATGGTTGTGGCAGGCATTTTACTCCCAGGCATTTTATTTCCAATGATGCTGTGTGTAAGCGGGCGTTCCGTCGTGGGGACAGTGAGCCCTGGTGAGGAACTGCACAGGGCACCCACCTGTCCTCCTTGCCTCCAAAGTGGGGGGGAGGGTGGCAAACCAGGCCAGCTGGACTCTTTGCCCGTTGGAGTCCTGGCCAGAGCTCTCCTTCCTGCCCGCGCCTACCCACCCGGCGTGCTGGCGAGGAGGCCCCCTTCCCACCCCACCACACCTGAGCTCATGGCCAGTGGACCTGCCGGCCCTGTGGCGCCCACCTCCCCTTGCCAAGGATGTGCTTTCCCAGTGGTGTGGCAGCTCCAGACTGGCTGCCCAGACAGTGGCCACAGGTCCCAGGTGAACACAGAGGCGGGCTGGGGGTCAGCTGCGGACGGCAAGAGCCAAGGGGGTAATGTCAATCATGCAGACAGTCAAGAGGGATACAGAAGATTACTTACCTAGGGACAAACTATAGAAAGGCTTAGGAGAACAACCAAGTCCTCAGTTGCCTCCCAGGAGGGATGGGACTCAAAGCCAGAGGTTTCAAAAGTCTTTTGTCTATTAAGTGAACCTTGGCTTAGGAGAACACCCAAGTCCTCAGTTGCCTCCCAGGGGGTTTCAAAAGTCTTTTGTCTATTAAGTGACTGTTTAAATAGGAGCAAGGAGACTAAACAAGTCAGTTCCAGAAAGAGCCAGTTGTGGAAGGCCTTGCTCTGTTCCCCAGCCAAAGTTTTAAACTCTTTGATTTGTTAACACTGCTGCTTGCTGCTTGCTTTAGCTGGAAGTGGCTGAGATTGAAGCTGGATGGCAGCAAAGCAAACAAATGCCTTATGTTGGATCACACCATTTGTCTATCTAGTCTGACCGGGGTGAATCTCTAGTACCTGAGAGCTGTCCTATAATCCATGGTGGCCTGTTGTATCAACCTGGATTTTGCCACCATGCTTTGGTCTCTGTGGGTTCATAAAATTGTGACTCTTCTTATTCTCAGAGAGGTAGCAGTGTTAATCCGTTTCGGCAACAACAAACACAAAAGTGGATAGTCTCCATTTAGAGACAGTACCTATATTTCAGTACTCATGGATTTACATTGTACCTGTTGAGACGCATCAAGAGGAAATGTGTGTCTGAAAAAGTGCCCTCTAATCTGTGAAAGCTCATGTTGAGATAAATGCGTTAATCTCAAATGAGGAACACTGCGTTTCCTTTTCGCTTTTGTTTTTGCTGAACATTGTTGGCTGGCGTTCTCTTGCTTACTAGGTTGCACTAGAGTAGGCTCATTGACTCAGTGGAATTTATAAAGGAGTTGACTCAACAAAACCCCACTGATTCAGTGGGCCTCCTCTAGTTGCAACCTGCTGCACTAGGCAGCAGAACTTCAGCCACTGGGTTTTAGATGACAGGTGAAGACTTCTGAATGTTCTTGAAGGCTTTTAGTTAGTTGTCTATATTTTGGTCTTTTCACTTAATTTTCTCTTTGCTATATGTATTTTGCTGTCTCTGTTGATCGTCAGTGTTTTCATTTGGCTAAATCCAATTTCTAGTCCCATTTGGATTCAACCAGTTTGGATCAGTGGGGCTTACATAAGGTCATTCAGTGGGACGAATGAATGGATTTAACCTGCTGTTTTTGGTGGTTTTTAAAGCAGCGAGCTACTATTTTATATAGAGAAGCAAAACTTCCCATTAAAAATGACTGCAGCATGCTGAGTTGAATTGAGGAGATGCAATATAATGATGTTCGCTAAGCAATGGTCTTTCTCTCTTCCGTTTAGTACAAGCAGGGCAAAGTGGGTCCTGATGGGAAGGAGCTCATCCCCCAGGAATCTCCAAAGGTTAATGGATATGGATTTGTGGCAACACCCTCCCCAGCTCCTGGTAAGAAGAAATCCCACACATTGGGCCGTAAAAAGAAATGGGCTTGGCATTAAGCAGAGCAGAGGGATGTATGTTGGTGGCAGTCACAGGAGGGCACCCACCCTAACAATAATGTTTTTGGCGGAGAGAGAGTCTCTCGTGGCACAGTCGCTGAACTGCGGTGCTGCAGCCAAAACTGCTCACGACCCAAGGTTCAGATCCAGGTGGCCGGCTCAGCCTTCCATCATTCTGAGGTTGATAAAATGAGGACCCAGCTTGGGGTGGGTGGGGGTGGAATGTGTAGCCAGTGTAATTACCGTATTTTTCCATGTATAAGACCCCCCCTTTTCTAACCCCAAATTAAGAAATCTAAGTGGGGCTTAGGAAGTGGAAAGGAAAGCAGGGATCAAAGCCCTGCAGGATCGCTTTGATCCCTGCTTTCCCCTCCACTTGTGTTTGTTCTCTCCTCAGCTTACTTCCATGTATAAGACGACCCTCAATTTTTAGTCTAAAGGTTTTAGACAGACATATAGTCTTATACATGGAAACATACGGTAACTTGTAAACCACCCAGAGAGTGCTTTAAGCACTATGGGGCAGTATATCAGCAGCACACTTTGTTTTTTAGAGACAAAGGAGATGATTCTGCGGGCAAGGCAGATAAATTGCTACAGTTCTCATGCAACAAACAATAACCCAAAGGAAGGCTTACGGAGTGAATATATAAATAGTGGCTTGCTGTATTAATTTTGAGAGTATAGTTAGGATTAATTTTCAGTTTACACATTGGAGGAATTCAGAATTAGTCTAGGTGTAACACTGGGTTTTCGTAGCTATTACTGAGAAATTACTCTGTATGTGTCCTGGGTCCCCTGGCAGATATGACACACCATCTCCTACCAAACGTACCTGTCACAGGACTGTCTGTCCATGAAACGTCTGACATAATAGTCATAAGTGGGACTTTGGCTCTTTGACAGATCAATTAGTGGGATGCAAAGTATAAAGGACCGAGAACCACTGCTTTAGAGGATCCTTGTCCTTAAATCCCAGTGATTAACCCAGTTTAATGTGTATCGAAGAGGCTTTGGAATAAGGTTCTTTGAGCACTCAGGATGGCGCAGGGATGCAGGAATCACTGTGGGGGGTGGGGGATGAAACGGAGCGAGGTCTTGATCCCTTTATTCTGCTGGCCACCTTGACTATTCCTTTCAGAAGGCTATACTGGGATAGATGGTCTGAGCACTGGGGGATTTCTTAATGGAAAAAGGTCCTGGACAGTGGAATAGGCTGCCTCGGGCAATGGTGGCTCCCCTTTGTTGGACATAATCATCTGCCGTGGATGCCATGGTAGCATGTTACATTGCAGATCATGCATGGAGCAGTAGACTGGGCTTCAGTGGTTGAATTAAAATCAGGAGTGGTCAGGGGTGAGGGTAGTTCTTGTGGGATTCCTTTCAGGATCCAGGCATATGTTAAGCCTGCCCAGCAGTGCTTAGCTGAACAGCTTGCTCTCCGCCTGGTCCATTTAAGCTGTTTTTGTCAAACTCTCTCCATAGGTGTGAATGAGTCCCCTCTGATGACCTGGGGTGAGATAGAAAGCACTCCCTTGCGGATAGAAGGCTCCGACACACCGTATGTGGATAGGACCCCTGGACCGGCCTTCAAGGTATTTGAAAGAACCAAGGGATTAGAACTGGGATTTGTGAGATCAGATGGTGTAGAAACAAGGCCAGCCCTGGCTGCTCAGAGAGATTGTCTCTCTCTCTGGCCTTTGATCTGGTGAAAGTTGCTTAAAATAGTATGCCAGTTCCAGGAAGTTGCCTGCTTCTTAATCTAGAATCAGAAGCCTCAGCTTGATTTGCAACGCTTTGGATGGATCAGAGCTAGAAGCTGCCTTGCTGTATGTGGTTTACCAAGTGCAGCACTACTAGCCAAAGAAAGCCAGCATGCCTGTTACTCCCTAGCAATCACAAATTCTCTTACTATGAATGAGAAGTTGAAATTGGCGTGAACCTCAGTTCAGAGGTCTAGCCCAATTTGTTGCTGTCCTCACAAAGGTGTTGTGTGGGCACAGTACCTTCCCCCCTTCTGACTTTGCTGCACGCTTCCCATTCCTCAGGCGAACGTCCTTCCCTTCCTGCCTCCCCAGCATGACTACCCACTCACCTTTTGCAGTGTTCTCTTCACTCTCCTGCCTCCTCTGTCAGCCACCTACTCCAATGAAGAGGCAGGGCATGGATTCCTGCAGTGCTGCCTTTGAGTGGGGGCTGATGGAGGAGGTGGGAGAGGGAAGAGCGCACTGCAAAAGATGAGTGGGTAGTCATGCTGGGAAGGTGGGGAGAGAAGGATGTGGAGCCCAAGGAATGGGTGAGCGTGCAGAGGAGGCGGGAGGGGAGAGGGTTCCATGCCCACACAACACCTGTGTGAGCACGGCAACAAATTGGGCCAGACCTCCAAACTGAGGTTCGTGCCCATCTCAAGGAAGTCGCTATCCAGGTAAAACCTCTGGCTGTCCAGTCTAAGCAGGGATAATGCGATTAATTCCTCTGCATACTGTGAATTACCTTCTTTTGGTATTCTTTGTCTAGATCCTGAACAGGCTTCTGCTTTCTCTGCTCCCCAGTTCTCTCCTATTTTTTCAGTAGTTTAAACTTCTGGAAACATACAGCAATTTCATCTTCTATGTAGGCTCCTTTGCACTGGGAAGCATTCCTTTTCTTCACAGCCTGCAGTCGTCTGAATCAAAAGTGCTCTCTTGTTTTTTATGTAGTATTTCCTGCATTGTTGCCTGTAACAAAATAGACTTCTATTTTCACAGATCCTGGAACCTGGCCGCAGAGAGAGGCTGGGGCTTAAGATGGCCAACGAGGCAGCTGCTAAAAACCGAGCAAAGAAACAGGACGCTTTAAGAAGAGTCACAGAGAACCTTGCCAGGTCAGTAGGTGCTTCTTAACTTGGTTCCTGGAGCAAAGGGAGAAAAGGCACCCAGGGTTTCACCTCTGAAAACAGAATTTCTGCAAGCCAGAAAAAAACTCAGCTGGGAAAGAGTGCTGTTTTAGACAGCCAGAATGGTCAGCATAGATTTCGGTTTCAGAAACGGAAGATGAGCGCTATAGTGGGGCTTGGATGCTCTGCTTCTTCTGGCCAGACAGTGAATGAAGATAAATTTTAAGCACTCTTAGTAGGCCCAGAGTACCTTGTGAAGGTCAAGGATATAAGTAAGGATATGTGTTCTGTGCCTGGAATACTGATTCAGTTTGTTTTCAAAGAACAGATTCATGAGCACATGCAGCTGTCTTATAATGGCTGTATGTACATCATGTTAAATTTTGGCTGCGCAAGACATGAATAAGCTTTTCCTTCTCCCCACCTCCCACCTTCTAAAGCAATTACAAGGAGTTTACACGTTTTCTACTATAGCTTGTTATGCTGTCCTAATTCATCAAACTTTGGTTAATCTCAGCTTTGGTGAGTTTAAAAACATTGCCTCAAACTGACATTTAAAAAAACAGTGTTTGTTCCATTTTTCCAGCCTTACTCCTAAAGGACTAAGCCCGGCCATGTCTCCAGCCCTGCAGCGCTTAGTAAACAGGACTGCCAGCAAATTCACAGACAAAGCTCTCCGAGCCAGCTATACCCCGTCTCCTGCGCACTTGGGAACACCTGGTTACAAAACCCCAGCAGGCGGACCACAGACACCCACCATCACCCCGACCCCGAGGACGCTCTCCCAAACGCCAGTGACTCAGGACTCGGCTTCCATCACGGACAATCTCTTGCAGCTCCCAAAAAGACGCAAAGCTTCAGACTTTTTCTGAGGAAGGCTCTTTTTTCCCCACTGGACCCTGTGCAGCTGAATAGACAAGTTCTGCTGGCGACATTTGTGCATGAAGAAGGGGCAAGAGGGAGCTGCCCCTTCTTCTGTAATTCTTGTTTCTGTAAATCTCTGGTGCCCCAGCACCCAGCTGGTAGTGGGGAACTGCAGAAGTAAACCCAGCCTTTGCTCACCAGAACTCTTACTACGGTGGTCGCATCCTGATTGAGAAATATGAGCTGCCAAAAAAGCATATGCTGCCTGAGCATTCTAATGCCTTTTGGATTATTTGATTTAATCAAGGGGGGAGTCTAATCTACTCTGTACAGATGTTTTTTATTTATTGACTGCAGTAAGCCTTTGAATAAAAGGCCTGACACCAAAGTAAAATCAGTGGATTTGCTTCTGGCTCACATATCATGCCGACCATTACAACTGGCTTCTGTGTTATGCCTTACCATCCATCAGTGGAATATATATACCAACACAGGAATGCAGATCTATGCCTTATAGGGCCAGAAGCTTCCCTTGCATATGAAGGCTTTCCTTGTTGTTTTTATTACTCTTGGGTAGCAGCGTGTGTTCCTCAACCTTCTTGTGGCTGTGCCATCTGTGAGGATTGTCACTTTCATACTTGGTTCTGGCTACTTCCCAGAATGCTGGACCGGTCGGAAGCTTGGGAGAAATACCGTTTCCTTAACTGCTAGCTAGGAGTTGCTGTCTTATTAAAAATGAGGGCAGGATTGGTTTCTGTATCTAGTGAAATTGATCTAGTTCAAAGTGATGTATACCTTCTCTGCCTATCATTCTGGCCTACTGGCCACGCTGGCTGACGGCAACTGGCTTTCCAACCACAACTAGAGGACAGCAGTTTCCCTACCTTTGAACTATAGCAAGGATGGATACTGTATTTTTCTGTATATAACTATACTTTTGTCTAAAATCTTTAGAATAAAATTGAGGGTCGTCTTATACACGGAAGTAAGCTGGGGAGAGAACAAAAACAAGTGGAAGGGAAAGAAGGGATCAAAGCGATCCTGCAGGGCTTTGATCCGTTTCCCCTTACGTTTGCTAAGACCCACTTAGATTTCTTAATTTTGGGTTAAAAAAGTGGGGATGTCTTATACATGGAAAAATACAGTAACTTGCAACCCACCAGATTCAATTGGACTTTAGTTCCCATTAGCCCCCCCCCCAACATAGGAAATGTTGAAGGATGATGGAACATCTGAAGGGCTACAAATTTCCTATGCTTTGGATAATGAAGGCTGTTTACCATTGGAGATCTTAGACCTGCGGAGCTGGGAGGGACCCTATGGATTGTTCAGTCCAGCCTCTGTTAAGGAGGCACAATGGGGAACCGAACCCACAGCTTCTAGCTACACAACCAGAGACTCAAACCACTGAGCTATCCAGCAGTTCTTCCATGAACGTAGAGAAGTAAATGGAGGTTAAGCGGTTATAGCGAGCTTTTGCTAACTTTACTGAGATTAATAGAATAACAAGAGCCCATAATTATATAAAGTTGGACTTGGGAACTTCAGACCTTGGCCCTTCTGTGCTCCCAGTTTGGCCCTCTGGGCCTCCCCAGAAGCACACACAATCTTCTTAATTTCTTCAATTATTTATTTTCCTAGCGTCTGCGTGGGTTTCCTTTCGGATCTAACAATCCCCGCAGCTTAGTCGATGCCACTCCAGAGCTTTGATCTTGGGATATTTTTTGTTCCCACCCATTTCCATTTGGTTTGGCTCTCTCCTGGAGTGTAAACCCCTTCCACTTTTCTGAAATTGAATTTAGCTCTCGGGTTGAAAAAGATTTCCCGTTGTCACTGTAGAACGAGGATTATTAACTCAAAGGAGCAGCATTCAGATCTCTGTTATTGTGGGAAGAAACCTTGATTCTTACAAAATCAAAAGCGGGCAAAGAGATTAGTAGCACGTCATGTAATTTCCAATCAAGCAGCGTAAAAACAGCAAAGCAAAGATGTTTCAAATCTGCCAGTTAGAAGTTCATTTTTGGGAAGGGGCAGCAGAGTAAATACTGTATTTAGGGAGATTTTCATTATAGTATATAATTTTTCAAATCCTCCATCTATTAAGCTTATAGCAGAGTAAATACTGTATTTAGGGAAATTTTCATTATAGTATATAACTTTTCAAATCCTCCATCTATTAAGCTTATTCTTCATAGTGAGCTCAGCTTCTGACAAATGATTGCTCACCAGCGGAGTTCTATTTCTAGTAACTTTCCAGCTGGTCCTATCCCCAACATGTCTGATTACAACTCCCATTATCCCAGCGGGCTGATGGGAGTTGTGGTCCAGGATGTTGGAGAGGCTCCCAGGCAGAGGAAGGTTACTGCAGTGTGAGTGTATTCTCACCTGAGGAACACATGTGGAAAAAATGGTAGGAAGGAAGGAAAAGTAGGAGAAAGAGAACTTTGTGAACACAGCAGGAACTTTTGCAAAAGTTCCACCAGTTCTGCATTTCCAGTGGATATTCTTTCACATGTATTTCTCCATGTAAATCTCAGTAGAGAAAAGACTGTGCCTTGCATGGACAAGGCATTGCAAAATCAGCTTTCCCAGAGCTCAGAAAAACGCAATACATATTTGAGACGCCGCGTGACATGATCTGGCTGAAGAGGCTGAATATAACTCAGAAAAACGCAATACATATTTGAGACATGATCTGGCTGAAGAGGCTGAATATAAACCCGTTAGTCCCAAATAAGAGATGAAACAGAAATATCTGGCATTCTTGTGCGATGTACAGTAGTATATGAGGAAGCTGTGACTCTTTGACTGTGAGTCCCAGGGAGGAAGGCTTGACAACAACAAAATATTGAGAGGAGAGCAAAAATCTCAAAATGCTTGTATATTTTATATATAATAAATCTATTTGGGACAGACAATGTACAGCAGGCTAATGGTTGACAGATTTTACGAGTTTGTTTTGGAAAAGCCAAGCCATCTAGTTTTTTACAAAACGCAATACATATTTGAGACGCCGCGTGACATGATCTGGCTGAAGAGGCTGAATATAAACCCGTTAGTCCCAAATAAGAGATGAAACAGAAATATCTGGCATTCTTGTGCGATGTACAGTAGCATATGAGGAAGCCATGACTCTTTGACTGTAAATCCCAGGGAGGAGGGCTTGACAACAACAACAAAATATTGAGAGGAGAGCAAAAATCTCAAAATGCTTGTATATTTTATATATAATAAATCTATTTGGGACAGACAATGTACTGTACAGCAGGCTAATGGTTGACAGATTTCACGAGTTTGTTTTGGAAAAGCCAAGCCATCTAGTTTTTTACAAAGTGCCTTTTAAGGCACCTGAGAAAATATAGGCACGTTGAGAATTATGTTTCTTTCTTGACCCTGTTTTGAGTACAAATCTCATCATCCCTGTTGGCCTTAGTGAAGGGGGCTGATGGGAGATGGAGCATCAGATTGCTCACCACTGCAGCCTTGAACATCCTTCGGGCTACAATTACATCTTAGACTGTGGAACCTCTGGTAGTTGTTTGACTACAACATCCATCAACCTGAGAGAGCAAAGCCAATGGCAAAGAATGATGGGAGCTGCAGTCCAGAAATATCTGGGAGGCTACAAATTGCCCATCCCTAAATCAGGTGGGGTAACGTGTCAGTGTTGCAAACTACATTTCCATTGTATAAATCACCAGATTGATGCATCCATAGGTGACTTCTGCAGACAATGGGGTTCCCTGTATGTCAACAAGACTCCGAAGGGCCTCTCGGAGACTCTGCTGTTGGGAGGCTTTTAAAGTCTTCTGAAATGGAGTAGGCACCCCTTCACAAGATTCTGGACTCCAAATCCCATTAACCTTCACTCTTGGCCCTGCTAATGAAGGCCGTTTATGAATTGTAGTCCAGTCTGGAGGATCATAACTCGGCCCCTTCTGTTTTATAACCTGGGGAATGATTTGCTGATATCTAGCAATTTTATGGGACTTGTGGGGATAGACACTGACTGTCCCCATATGCCTTTTCCAGATGGGTGAGGGATAAAGAAATTAAAAATTCAAACTGCTTTCAGGGGCAGGATATTCTTAGCACTGCAAGTTCCTCTTTAGTAAGGCCTCAACCTTGAGAATTTCTGTGTATTATTTTCAAAGGCACCCAAGTGAAATTCTGAAGTGGGATTTGAACCGCTGGTGGATGAGCAACTTCTGGCCCTCCAGATGTCAAGCTGTCGCTCCCATCCCAGCCTTGCTATTAGGCACGCTGGCTAGGCCTGGTGCCGTTTGCAGACTAAGTGGATCTAGAGAGCCATAAGTGGCCAATGTCTGACCTTCTCTATACAAGCTCCTGAGATCCATTGCAGGCAGTTGACAATTACAGTGAAATATAAATCAATTTACAAAATATTTAATAGAATTGCTTTTTTTAAAAAAAAAACATTGATATTAAGAAAGCCCTTTTCCCCCCATTGTAGTCTCTCTCCTTCTCTAATACTTTCAACCATGAAGCTCTCGTCTGTTTCCCCAAACTGCCTTGTCCATTTGGTTACCCAGACTACCTCCGGCTGCATGGATGAACCCCCTGTGGCCTAGTGGCTTTAGAGGTCTGTCATCTCCAACTCAGCTGTTACCTCCTCGATAGGGTCTCGTTTTTCAGTTTCAACAGGTTCCTCTTTTTCTTCTACTACTTCCAATCGGGTTGGGATCCTTGGCTTGGACTCGGTTTTGTGATCCAGTTCCATGCCTGCTCTCTGTTCTTCCTTTGGCTCACCCACCGTCCGGGAGCACTCTCCTCCGTTTTTCGCGATCGACGTGACCGACACGGCTCGGGCTTTGGAAGACTGCATCCATATGTGACTTAAGACCTCGTCGATACGCAAGCGCCGGCTCACGTCAGGCTGGAGCATGCGGTAAATCAGATCTTTGCATTCCACCGTCAAGTTTTTGGACTTGGGAAAATGCACCCTGTGCTCCTTCTGCAGCCGTAGCATTTTCCGAATGTTGGAGTCGTCGTAAGGCATAGAGCCGCACACCATAATGTACAAAATGACGCCAAGACTCCACATGTCGTAAACTTTGGGCTCATAGGGGATGCCTTGCAGCACTTCCGGAGCTGCATAAGCTGCAGAACCGCAGAAAGTTTTGCTGTAGATAATTTTCCCGTCATCATCGCGCGTCAAGCGCTTGGAGAAGCCAAAATCAGAAAGCTTGATGTGGTAATCTTTGTCCAGGAGGAGGTTTTCACATTTCAGGTCTCGATGGACGATGTCAGCATCGTGACAGTACTTAATGGCGCAACATAACTGGCGGAACATCTTGCGGCCAATCTCTTCGGGCAGGGCTCCTTTGGTCTTAATGAACTCCAGCAAGTCCCCTTGAACGCCAAGCTCCATTACGATGTACACTTTGCCATCTGAGGTTTCAAAGATTTCGTAGGTTTTTATGATGGACCGGTGGTTCACTTTGGCCAAGATGTCTATCTCTCTTGGAAGAAACCTCTCCAGAAAATCAGCGGGAGCTTTCTTCCGGTCTATAATTTTGACCGCCACGTCGAATTTCAAGCGTTCAGAGAAGGCGGACTTCACCTTCGCATAAGACCCTTCCCCTAAATTTGCTCCCATGATGTAGCCTCTTTTTTTAAGGACAGCTGCATCGTCCATGATGCTATATACAGCTGTTAAGATATGTCCGGCCACATGGCTATCGTACGTATTCAGTCAGTTAGAGGGGATTTCATGGCTGGCGGTCATAGGGGCATATTGCTGTGTTCTTGGAAGCAGGTTGAGGTAGAACTCGGAGCATTGTGTAGTGGGTGATGTCACAAAGCTGATCTGAGTAAAGCTAGTGCCTTAATAAGCTCCAGTGTAGTATTAAACAACCTAATACCAATACAATTGCATTCCAGCTTTGCCTCATTGAGAGGAGTAACGTTGGCAGTGGAATGCTATGGTTTATGGAAAAGGATCTAATCTCTACTCCTTTGCTATTTTCATAACAGAAGATGAAAAAGCAGTCCTCAATGTTTGGTACATGCAACCTGCAGACTCCTTATGTACTGTACAGTATTTGCTTTTTATACACATATAGGAGATTTGTTATTTTCTTTCCACTTTGTGGGATGCTGGCAAGCATCCCTCAGACTATTTGAGGAGAGGAATTACATGGCTCTGTCATTTGATGAGCTTCTCAGGCATACGTTTGGATGCTCGATGAAAGTTGCATTTCCAAGAGGCAGTAATTAGCATTTGAAGGCTTTGAATTGCAATTTCCATTGTGTCACGAATGTAACAGCTGCGTATGAGAACGCCAGACCATAGATGAAGTAAGTTGTCCGCACTGACTTTACTTCTCCACAGATTCTCACCGCAAAGATTACATTGGGCGCCGTGGTCAAAATTCCATTTCTCGTGACATCAGACACATAGAAGAGTGAATTGGGAGTTCTCAAAGTTAAAGAAATCAATAACTTGTTAAATAGATTGTAAATAATCAACAGATTAAACAACTATTTACTATTTTTCCCACCTGTCATTGTGACTTTAGAATACCAACCCACATAAATTTTTAAAAAATCCTAAGTGGAAGCTCAGTTAGGATTTGCATTCAATTTTTTCATTCACCCTTGAGAACCGACAGAACCTTTCCAGGGCCTTGGGACCCGTTTGCAGCCCTTACCCCCAAACAGCTTTCTTAACAAAAAAGGGGCCTTTAAAAATGAAGAGAGAACCCCTTTCTACTTTCTAGAGACCAATTAAAAACAATGTGGTAGTGGGGGGGGAGCTTGGGAGGCTCCTAGGGACGGAGGGACCCCTAAAAACACTTCAAAATTGCCCTCAACACTCTCTGGAGAGGGTCAAAGGACATTTCTGAACCATTTTTCAAGGATTGTTTTTTTTTAAATTGAGGATATATTGGGATCCCAAGGGGTTATGAAGGGTCGCATTTTGCCCCGTGGGAGCTGTATTCAGCGTGTGGGCTGCGTGATATTGCCCACTGTAATTTAAATTGTAGAAATACAGGGCTAAATCGAATGTTTGTTTCCGGCTAGAGGGAGCCCCCTAAAACGAATGGGACCGGTGGGTTATAAGATATGTAAATTGGGATTAATATTGCATTTGAGCCATGACTGGAGATCGTTGCACTCTGGCGTGACTGTGATGTCCTCACCGCTTGTGGAAAGACTCCAGTTTTGGATGGCCTTCGGCCTTCAGACAGGGTGGTCTCTTTTATCTCATTACTAAGTTATTTCCTCTGGCCACAACTGGCATAACCACTTTGGGGAAATGTAGAACGTCTGAGGCAAATGCTGCTCCATACGTTCACTCCAGTGTGAGCAGGCCCCACATGGAAGGAGTACTGTATATATAGTGGTACTTTAAATACCATATTTTATTGTAATCTTTCATCAAGGCGATCGACAAAACGTGCATTAAAACAGAGCAGTCTTTAAGGTGCCACAATGTTTTTGTCTTTTATATCTTCTATAGTTCATTTGTTTCGTTTCGTTTAGTCGTTTAGTCGTGTCCGACTCTTCGTGACCCCATGGACCAGAGCACGCCAGGCCCTCCTGTCTTCCACTGCCTCCCGGAGTTGGGTCAAATTCACATTAGTAGTTTTGATGACCCTGTCCAACCATCTCATCCTCTGTCGTCCCCTTCTCCTCTTGCCTTCACACTTTCCCAACATTAAGGTCTTTTCCAGGGAGTCTTCTCTTCTCATGAGCTGGCCAAAGTACTGGAGCCTCAGCTTCAGGATCTGTCCTTCCAGTGAGCACTCAGGGTTGATTTCCTTTAGAACTGATAGGTTTGTTCTCCTTGCAGTCCAGGGGATTCTCAAGAGCCTCCTCCAGCACCACAATTCAAAGGCATCAATTCTTCGGCGGTCAGCTTTCTTTATGGTCCAGCTCTCACTTTCATACATCACAGCAGGAAAAACCATAGCTTTGACTATTCGGACTTTTGTTGGCAAGGTGATGTCTCTGCTTTTCAAGATGCTGTCAAGATTTGTCATTGCTTTCCTCCCAAGAAGAAGGCGTCTTTTAATTTTGTGGCTGCTGTCTCCATCTGCAGTGATCATGGAGCCCAAGAAGGTAAAATCTGTCACTGCCTCCATATCTTCCCCTTCTATTTGCCAGGATGTGATGGGGCCAGTATGTGATGGGTCTGAAAAATAAGATACTCTTGATTTGCTCCGATGGTGACTTTGTTTATAACCACAGATGAGGAAATGGGGTGGAAGGGAGACTCACTTCCTGTAATTGCTAGAGAGTCGCATTAACAGAATAATGAGACGCTCTGGGCAGTGTGGGAAGGGTGGCTCTCTGTCTTTTCCACTATAGCGCTATTCAGGTGTTGCCTTCATTGGTGGATTCCCCACACTTCAACAGTGGGGCGGCCTCACCATCTCATTGTGCTTTCTTTATACAGAAAGTATTGTGACTGCCAAGGAGAGGGTCCCATTCTTGTGTGGGCCCTCTGTACAAGCAACAACTCTTGGCTTCCCGTGCTTCTTGCTTGCTTGGAAATTGGAGTGGGGGACATGGAGCCCCCCACCCCAAACACCATTGGGGGTCCACCAAGTCCTTACACTCCCAAAATTATTAAACCTTTTTTTTTTGAAGGAAAAAAATTATTCAAAAAGTTCCATAGTGCACTCTGGGGGCAAGGATGATGCAGGGCCCACACAGAACTCTCTCTTCCGCGCCGGCGCATCACTTTCCAGATGGAGAAAGCAATGATGAAGATAGGGAATTCGGGGGGGCGGGGTGTACATGATTTTGCTGAAGGTCCGTTTTTTAAAACACAGTGGATGGAAACACTGCAACATCTCTAATACCCTTTCGATGCATTTTGGGGAGGGAAACCTTTTGGAGGGATTTGAAATTGAGTTATTCCCTTTTGAGACGAGCATAGAGAGAGCAACCCAATCTCAGCCCTCCCTTGAAAGCCAAAATGGTCAGTCCAGACGCTTCTTGGCTAAGACGCACAAGAAAGGGTTTTACAAACAGTACTCGCTTTTGTTCTTTCCTTCTCTACCAGGTGGAGCTACATCGCCACAGGCATGTCTTCTTCGAAGGGCAGAAAAAAGGGGCAGGAGAGGAAAACCTGGAAGGAAGGGATTCCATAAAGATCCTGAAGCATGGGGGCAAATCCATAGTTAGTAGCAGCTGGTAGCTGGGAACTAGAAATTAAAATGTCATCCCCTGCATCAACATCCAGTGATAATCAGAAGCAAGCATGCACGTGTGCACACACACACACACAAGCTTTTTCGGAGCATAGTTTGGTTCTATAGCAGAGGAAAGGCCAACAGTTTCCCCTTCGTGTAGGAGAGTTCTGTGGTGCAGTTGCTTCCCCTGCACAAAGGTCCAAGGCATCATCCTTGCCCAGCCCACCTTGGCCCAAGAGAGCCCTGCCTGAAAATCTAGGAAAGGAGTCACTCCAACTCTTGTGTACACAGACTGGAGCCTGACAAATGGGTGGTCCAGCTTTGCATGAGACAGTTTTCAGATTTTGGGGAAAGCCCACAACAAGATGGCTGGCCTGCAACCCCAAGCATCTCCAGATAAGGCTGGGAAATCTGATATCTAGACAGCTGGTGCCAAACAGGATACTCAGTGTGGTGCAGTGGACTTCAACTCCCAGAAATCCTGGCCAGCGGAGGTGGCAGTGAAGGCTTCTGGGAGTTGTAGTCCAAGAACAGCTGGAGGCCCAAGGTTGGGGACCACTGGATGGATAGAATGATGGACCAGGACTCAGAAAACCTGGATTCAAATACCCGCTTGATCTGGAAATTCATGAGGTAGAGGTGGAATTGGCAAAACCAAGCCTTCTGTGCCTCATGTAAAAAAGCTCTACTAGGGTTGCGATAAGTCAATTCTGACTCGATGGTCTATTGCAGAAGAAAGGAAAATTGCAGCCTCACCCCACGTACGTTTACTCAGAGGCAAGCCCCATCTTTGTCAGTGGGGCTTCCTCCCAATAAAAGAGGACATTGCTGCAGCTCCATATCCTCTCAATTGCTCCAAAAACACAGACAAGCCTTGCAAATGGGGAAATCATAGGAGGGTGTGAAAATTGCAGCCTCACCCCACGTACGTTTACTCAGAGGCAAGCCCCATCTTTGTCAGTGGGGCTTCCAGTAAAAGAGGGCATTGCTGCAGCTTCATATCCTCTCAATTGCTCCAAAAACACAGACAAGCCTTGCAAATGGGGAAATCATAGGAGGGTGTCGTTGTTGTTGTCCTTTCACATAATGGGTCTTAGGAACTGCAAAACCCTGCTACCTTTCCCAGGAAATTCTTAACCATCCCTTCATGAAAACCGTCTCGCAAACCATCCAGGTGAGGGCTCCATCCTGCTCTTTGAAATTTCTTATGCCACCAGAAGCCTTTTCCAGCCTCCTTTCCTAATAAGTGCAAAATTGGTTACTGCCATCATCCGTCCGTCCGTAAACCTTTTCTTGTCTGCAAGTTTCCTGAACAGGGTCAGTTCTGCCAAAGCTCTCCAGCTTTATCTGTGGACCTACATGAGACCCATCCCAGGAGAAGTGGGAGGGAAGGACCCACTTTGCGCAAAGACAAACACTGGTCCAAGCTTTTCCCATACGTTTCAGATGCCCGCACTTTGCTTTTTCTCAGTTCTTGAGCCGTAAACCTTTTCTTGTCTGCAAGTTTCCTGAACAGGGTCAGTTCTGCCAAAGCTCTCCAGCTTTATCTGTGGACCTACATGAGACCCATCCCAGGAGAAGTGGGAGGGAAGGACCCACTTTGCGCAAAGACAAACACTGGTCCAAGCTTTTCCCATACGTTTCAGATGCCCGCACTTTGCTTTTTCTCAGTTCTTGAGCCCAGCTCCACTGTGAGACCCATCCCAGGAGAGGTGGGAGGGAATGACTCACTTTGCATGAGACAAACACCGGTCCAACCTTTTCCCATACGTTTCAGATGCCTGCACTTTGCTTTTTCTCAGTTCTTGAGCCCAGCTCCACTGGATCCCCATCGTAGAGAAAAATAACTGCTTTTTCTACCTGACTTAGAGAAAATGAGCTGCTAATGCAGAGATAATGAGGAAGGAGGATGGAAGTTTGGGGGGACCTCAGGATTTCCCAGCCTGTGTGGCTGCTGGCTGTACTAGCAAATCCTCAAGAGTTATTGCTCAAGAACTCAACTCCTCCAAGCTCTGTAGTTGGGGTTGCCTGATCTCTGGCTTGAAGCCTCAGGGAACTGCTTTTAGAGCAGCTATTACACATCGGGTACCCAGTGTGTGGCAGTGGATAGAGTCGGACTATCCGTCTCTGCTATGGAAATTCAATGGGAGGGTAGAACTGGTAAAAAGAAATGAATCATTTGTGTAGGAGAGATGGACAAACCACTGACCTGGTGGTTTGTTTTTCAGTGGAACAGGTGTTTGGCACTTTCCAGTTCCGCCTCCTCCAGCAGCCGCCCACTGGAGGCAGCAGCCAGAGGAGGCAGGGTAGGGAAGCTGGGGCACTGCCTCTGGGAGGGGCACCCGCTGGAGGAGAAGGGGCTGGGAACCGCTGAACACCTCCTCAGCCGTTTGTGTCCATCTCTAGTGTGCCATCAAGTTGCCATCTAGTGTGCCATCTCTATTTTTATTTATTTATTTATTTGTTCGATTTATATCCCGCCCATCTGGTATACTCTACCACTCTGGGTGGCTTACAGAATATCAAAAACAATTAAACAAACATAAAAACATCAGCATACAGCAATAACAAATAGTGCAGGAATAAATAAACAATAAATAGCAAAGCAAAGGAATCAGTAGTTGACAGGAGGGAAGGCCTGGATGTACATCCATGTTTTCAGTTGGCATTTGAAAGTACCCAGCGTAGGGGCATCGCGAATTTCCGGAGGAAGGTTGTTCCAAAGGCGAGGAGCCACCGCCGAGAAGGCCCGGCTTCGTGTCTTTTCCCTCCGGGCCTCCCTCGGCGTCAGGCTCCTCAGCCTCACCTCCTGACTCACGCGGGTGATCCGAGTAGATCTTGGTGGGCACAGGCGTTCTGCCAAGTATCAAGGTCCCAAACTGTTTAGGGCCTTATAGGTAAGCATTAACACTTGAAAGTCAATGCGGAAACGGATGGGCAGCCAGTGCAGCATGGCCAGAGTAGGAGAGATATGCTGGTATTTTCTCACTCCAGTAAGGAGTCTGGCCGCTGCATTCTGCACCACCTGAAGTTTCCACATCAGCCTCAAAGGTAGCCCCACGTAGAGCGTGTTACAGTGGTCTAATCTTGAGATTACGAGCGCATGTACCAAGGTAGTGAGCGCCCCCGTGTCAAGGTAGGGTTGCAGCTGGGCAATCCGCCAAAGGTGGAAAAAGGCGGTGCAAACTACCGACGCCACTTGGGTTTCCATGGTGAGTGTCGTGTCCAGGTGTGTATCTCTAGTGTGCCATCAAGATTTATGGCAACCCTTTCCAAGGTTTTCTAGACAGTGAGCCCTCAGATGTGAAACAGCAATACATGTTCGACTTCAATTGGTGGACAAAATCCTGCTCCATGGACACCTGCAAAAGGCAAAAGGCACAACTCGCAGTGGCTTCTCACTGACAATTAATGAATTCCTGCCTGGATTTTAAGGCGTACGCCAACCCACTGAATTGGCATGCACTCAAAAAACCCAAGCAGGGGACTCCCTTAATTGGCAGCAAGAAGCTGCTGCAAGTTATGCCGTTTGCTGTGGGAATAGGTAAGCAACAGGATTTCAGCCAGGATACGTTACTAGCACTTGCAGGAGCCACCAAGCAACTTCTGACTTTAAAGGAACATAAAACTGGCTAGACACCAAATCAACGGGGCCTCTGAGGTAGTAACACAACCCCAACTGATGCGCCTCATCTCCACGCCCAAAGTGAAAGCATTCTCTTTTACTGTACTTTAGTTTTAGTTGATTTAATGTTATGTATTGTAGATGTGTTTTTGGTTTATTTTCTTTTTCATATTTAAAATTTAATAAAAATATATATATTTTAAAAACCCCAAGTTCTGCTGGGTGCTAACGCTGTGTATGTTTTATGCGTTTGTATCTGAAAATTAGCTGCGTCAGCTCTGCAAGCCGAGTGGGGATAGCCTTCCAGATGTTTCTCGGACTTCAAATCCCACCATATCCAGCAAGCATCCTCAATAGTGAGAGAGGATGGGCGCGTTTGGCCCACTGGGAGGGGCCGCACATAGCCCACCCCTACAATCGATAATACTTAAGAAAACAACACCCACACACAGACACCAACTTTTAGATCATAGTTTTAGTGGATTTAGATCTTCTTAAACTTTAATTTCACAGGTGTTGCTATCTTGCTTGGAAGCATCAGCTCATATATAGGTATATACCTTTCGGTGACAAGAAGCTTCCATGTCAGAGTTGCAGAGATTTTAAAGGATTAAGGTGTCCGTTTGCAGCATGAGAGTCTATCACAAAAATGGTGCAAGATCAGCTGGCCCCGGCTATTCAGATGCTTCATAATAGATCTTGCCTAGGCATCAAGCTGAAAGGTGGATGGACCAAGTCCCAGATCATGGAGAAATCAATGGACAATTAGTTTTCATTTGGAGAAGATTAACAAGGAAGAAGAGGAGGGGGAAATCAATGCTCTCTTCTTTCCATTTTGTGCTTCTTACAAAGTTAAAGGATGGGGGAGCGGGATGTTATCAGCTGTCGTGGCTACAGAGGTGGAAACCTCTGAGAATCGGATGATGAAAATAGCTTTCTTCCCCTTATCCTCCTGCTTCGGTCTTTCCACAAAAGTTTTCCAGCATGTAACCATTTAAACACGTTCCTCAAAGGGGTGCTGCAAGAAAATAGCCGTCGGCCATTTTGGGATTCGGAGGGCAACCATTTCAAAGAGAAGTCCTTTGCATCTGACCCGAGAGCTTGTCCATATCCACATGCCGTTCCTCTTGAATGATTTCTTCGTTCTCCGAGTTTTCTGGGCCCGATTCCTTTCCGTACACGGCTCTGATGGTGCGCTGGTGGTGGGAGCACTCCCCTGGTTTCGACAAGGTGGTGTCCGAAATGGATTTGTTTTCTTGCATCCAAGTGTGCGTCAAAACTTCATCGATGCATAACCGCCGGGTCACGTCAGGCTGGAGCATGCGATAAATGAGGTCCTTGCATTCGTACGACAGCACTTTTGAACGGGGGAAGTGCACACGATGTTCCTTTTGCAACTTCAGCATCTTTTTAATGTTTGAGTCGTCATAGGGCATGGAGCCACACACCATGATAAACAAGACCACACCCAAGCTCCATATGTCATAAACTTTAGGTTGATAAGGGATGCCCTGGAGAACTTCGGGAGCGGCGTAGGCAGCAGAACCACAGAACGTTCTGCTGAGGATGACCCTACCATCCTCATCACGTGCCAGCCGTTTGGAGAAGCCAAAGTCTGTCAACTTGATGTTGAATTCCTTGTCCAGAAGAAGATTCTCGCATTTCAAGTCTCGGTGGACAATGTCCAACTCATGGCAGTACTTGATGGCGCTCGCCAGCTGGTGGAACATCTTCCGAGCGATGTCTTCTGGAATGGCTCCTCTCCTCTTGATGAACTCCAGCAGGTCCCCTTGGACGCCGAGTTCAGTCACGATGTAGACTTTGCCGTCGGAGGTCTCAAAGATCTCGTACGTCTTGATGATGGAGTGGTGTTTCACTCTGGCCAGCATCTCGATCTCTCGGGGCAGAAACCTGTCCAGGAAGTCCCGAGGCGCTTTCTTCTTGTCGATGATCTTGACTGCAACGTTGCATTTCAGCCGATCGGAGTAGGCAGATTTCACCTTCGCATAGGAACCTTCCCCCAGATTGATTCCCATAATGTAGCCTCTCTTTTTAAGAACATCCGCATCTTCCATAGTACCTGAGGCGACTCTTAAGAGATCTCTTCAAACTGGCTGAGCGAGTATCCTGGCTCCCCCATCCTTCCCGTTAGCTAGCATTCTAGGATGGTCATCCGAAGTAGTATGGCTTCTCCTAGGTTGGAAGCCGCAGAACTCTGAATATTCTTTTGTGATGTCATAAAGCAGAGATAGTGCTACCTTGGCTTACATTGACACCCGCTCATCTGGATAGTAGTCACCTCTCTCTGCCTCACTGGAAAGTAGGATAATTTTGCGGGGAACGTACCAAAAAGAATCTGCCCCCCCCCCCACGGAACAGCATACATTTATAATTAAGACGAACAAGCAAACTTTATTTTTTTAAAATGTTCTTTATTATGATTCTTTTAAGCCCTAGATGTAGCAAGAAAATTTAGATTCTGCTTCTGGGAAATACAAGCGATGGGGTGCCAGGGGGAGGAAACCAAACTACACAGGTGTTCTCCAGAGATTGATCATTCTGAAAGCACAAAATAATTGGGAACATTTTGCCCACTGGATGTTTTTGGCTTCTGTCACTCCCACCCAGTCAGGCTAATGACAGTGGATTACAGAGGGTATTTTCCAAAATATTTGGAGAGCATGAGGTTGGTGGAGGTTGGTTTACACAACAGCTGAACTTTTTTAAAAAAAAAAATCTCCAAGACCTTTGGGAGTTAATGTTATCTGGTGTTTTTACTGCTAGATGCTTGATGTTTGTTTTTAGTATGTCTTCTTAATAGGTATAATTTTGTAAGGTGCTCTAGGATTTCTGGTAAATTTGAAAGGAAGGGCTATATAGCCATCTGGACTAATGCATCAAGTGAGTAAGAACACTTCACAAAAGCATCAAATATTTAGTGATATGTGTCTATTTTCCTGCTTGGTTTAAGGTGTGACTGTTAAATCTGGGTGAATCACTGAACAGCACACCTTTAATCTCCCCCCCCTTTAAAAAAATCTTTATAGAAGGAATATAGGTATTTCACTAGAAATGTATAATCTTGATACAGTTCCTTCACAACATTGGAATCTGAATCAGATCAAAATGTCACACCAAGGATTGACATGGGAGGCTGGTGGAAAATAAGTCTTGCCATTCTCATGAACATAAAAAATTAAAAGGAAACCATGTGTTGAAAAGTCATATTGGGAATGAGCATGTTTGAGTCATTTGAACGGGTGAAGCACAACACCTTTTAGCCATCCTATTATTCTGTGGTATGTAGTAGTTAGTGGTGCACTGGAACTAGAGAGATGGTCCTAGTTCTCAATGAACCACGAGACCCATCAAGTGATCTTGGGGGAGTCCCTCCCCTTCAACCTGGCCTATCTCACTGACATCAGCATAAAGTAGAGAGAAGATGAGTAATACAATAGGAACCCTTAATCTGTGGGATCAGTGTCCAAGGATTCACTTATCCACAGTCTGAATATATTAAAAATATTGAAAACAAATCTTAGAAATATATGTTTCTAAAGATGAAGTTACCAAAACGGGTCTCCAGAATGAGCCAGAGACCATGTTTTGTTTTGTTGTTGTTTAGTTGTTGTGTCCGGACTGCATAAACTTTCATATTAACAGGAAAATTCTCTATATTTGTTTTGTTGTTATTTAGTTGTTGTGTCCGGACTGCATAAACTTTCATATTAACAGGAAAATTCTCTATTTCCATCACTGATCCAAGTGGAGAGATAAATAGTCATACATTCTTTCTATATTTATACCATATGTTTATCGTTTCGTCGTTTAGTCGTTTAGTCGTGTCCGACTCTTCGTGACCCCATGGACCAGAGCACGCCAGGCCCTCCTGTCTTCCACTGCCTCCCAGAGTTGGGTCAAAT